CCCCCCGGGGGCCCCCGTACCCCCAGGGGGCCCCTTCACCTCACCAACCCCACAATAAAATCCTGGGGCCCCATGGGGGCCGGGCCCCTCTGTATACCTTCTTAATACCCTTATAGGGGGGCCCCCAAGGGGGGCCCCCAAGGGGGCCCCCCTATGATGGGGGGGGGCCCTCACGGGGGCCCCTTGGGTGGCCCGGGGAGGGGCCCTGGGCGAAGCCTCTGTTTGGGGGCCGCCCGTTGGGGGGCCCCCGGGCCGTGGGGGGCTGCAGAGTATGGGGGGGCCCCCTGTTGGGGGGCCCCCGGGTGTGGGGTGGGGGCCCTGTTGGGGGGCCCCCTGTTGGGGGGCCCCCTTTTGAGGGGCCCCCTGTTGGGGGGCCCCGGGGTGTGGGGGGGCCCCCCTACTGGGGGCCCCCCTACTGGGGGCCCCAGGCTGGGGGGAGCGTGTTAGGTTGTGTTGTATTTGTGTTTGTTTGTGGGTTGTTTTGTTTTGTGTTTGGTTGTTATGATGATGGTGTGGCTGTATATAAGAGAAGAAGAAGAATTGCTGTTGCTGCTGCAGCAGCAGCAACAGCAGCAACAGCAGCAGCAGCAACAGCAGCAACAGCAGCAGCAGCAACAGCTGTTGCTGCTGCAGCAGCAGCAACAGCAGCAACAGCAGCAGCAGCAACAGCTGCTGCTGCTGCTGCAGCAGCTTGTTGATCCAATGAACAACTTGAAATTAAGCGGATGGAGTCTGCTGTGTCTCCTGCAGGAATACTGTTCGGCTGCTGCTGCTGCTGCTGCTGCTGCTGCTGCTGCTGCTGCTGTTGCTGCTGCTGCTGCTACAGTTACTGCTGCTCCAGTTGGTGATACTGCTCTTGTTGCTGACAGTCCTGCTGCTGCTGTTGCTGCTCTAGCTGCTGCTGCTGCTGCTGCTGCTGCTGCTGCTGTGCTGGTTCTAGCTGTAGCTACTACGTGGCTTGGGGTGTATAGGCAGCTCTAAAGCTAGGATGCGTAGCAGCAAATACACAGACACTTAAAAACCCACAAAACGGGGCCCTTTCTAGTCGAGGGGCTAGCTAGCTAGCTAGCTAGCTAGCTGGCTAGCTAGCTAGCTAGCTAGCTAGCTAGCCTAGCTGGTGCTAGCTGGCTAGCTGCTCAGCTGACTGTCGGTCAGATGCGCTAGCGAGCTAGCCAATTGGCTAGCTGGC